TCATGGCAACTGCTGCCAAACCAACGTTTCTAAAAATCTGCACAGCCAACCAAATTTGTGGTGGCCAATCAGAACCCTTGTTGGGCTAAAGCCCCAACTGGCCACGCCTACTTCCTAAAAACCCTTGGTGGGTGCCAGAAAAGATCTCAGTTGAAGGATCATTTGGTTAGCAGAGTGCTCAAGACACATAATGCAGCAGAGTCTATCTGGTTTGTGTGTGCTGACAAGAAATGCAGTTACATACGGAGCCTCTTTATCTTTGCAAAGCTAATATGGGTCCTTTATTGTAAGGAACTCCATTCTAGACAGGATAGCGTTAGGATTCTAATCTAGTCTAACTAGCTAGGATGGATAGAGATGAAGGAAACATGTCCTGCCCTCTTGGTACCAAGATGGAGAAGTATAGCATAGTGTGGAGAGAAGGTGTCAGGCAGGAAGGAAGGAATATTCCCTGAGAAGTCGAAAAGGTTTTCACCCCAGTTTCCAGTGATAGCCACATAACATATTTTCCAGGACTAGGCTTAGCTACAAGCAGGGGTCATTTCGTAGAAAAAGAGGTGCAGGAGCTCATTAGCATAACTCATTAACTTAACATATTTGCATATGCCACACCCCCTGACATCACCAGAAGTGTGTCAGAAGGCAACACCCACCACTCAGGCTCCACTGGGCTGCTTTGGATTGCTAGCTATTGGGGGGGGGGACGTGCAGATCTGTTCTCGCAGAGGAGGGAGAGCTTGTACCTGAATAAAACTTGGTTTAAAGGTGCCACTGGACTCTTTTGGACCAGGGGGCCATGGGGGCTCTGCAGTTTACCTGGCTGCTTCTTGCTCTGACTGAGGGCTGCTGGGAGCAGGGGGTGGGGCTTGTGGCATGTGCCCGCCCCCTGTGCGCTCCTGCAGGAAAGGACCCCTGGCTACAAGTGTCACTCGGTCAGGTCTCAGGTGCTTCCAAGTCCCAGGGATACGTTGCAGTATAAAGTGATTCAATGAGAACGATCACTTCAGCAACAAAGGCTAAATTAGCCTTAGCAACCTCTTTCCAACAGGATCCAATCACAGAGTGATTCCCTGTCGTAGGTACCAGAGTGGCTTTGATACGCTCAAGCGCTTTGTTCTATCAGTCTGTGCTTCGTTTGTTTAGAATATGTAGCAACCAAACAGCAAATTCGAAACGGCGGCATTTGGTCTCGGCAAACCCGAGGCATTCCTAGTTCACAACAGATGGGAACTGTCTCTCTTTCGGTGGCCGTGTACCTCCGTCTCCTACATGGTCCCCGCTGTGCATTTCCTGGCACCCTTCCCGTTTAACAGTTGCCAGCAGTGACTTCCACACAGGGGGGCACGATGAAGGAAGTGGAATATGCTAGCAGAACACTGCAATCTGGCAAGATTCAAAGTTGTCAAGTCTGGGTTGGGAAGTTCCTGGAGATTTGGGGGGGGGCAAAACCCGGGGGAGGGAGGGAGATACCTGGAGATTTGGGGGGTGCAGCCCGAGGAGGGTGGGGTTTAGGGAATGGAAGGGTCTTCAAATGGGGTCCAGTGCCATAGAGTCCACCTTCCCAAGTGGCCAGTCAGGGCCAGTTCGGCATAGTGGTTAGGAGCACAGACCCTAATCTGGGAGAACCGGGTTTGATTCCCCGCTCCTCCACATGCAGCTGCTGGATGACCTTGGGCAAGCCATAGTTCAGTCAGTGCTGTTCTTGAAAAACAGCCGTTTCTGTCAGAGCTCTCTCAGCCCCACCTACCTCACAGGGTGTCTGTTGTGGGGAGGGGAAGGGAAAGGAGGTTGTAAGCCGCTCTGAGACTCCGAGTGAAGGGCGGGGTATAAATCCAATCTCCTCCTCTTTCTCCTCCTCCAGGTGAACAGATCTCTCTCACCTGGAGATCAGTTGCAATCCTTGGTGATCTCCTGCTATCACCTGGAGGTTGGCATCCCTAAGGGGGAGCAATCTCTGTTCTCTGGAGGTTCGTTGTAATTCCAGGAGGTCTCCGGGCCCCACACGGCGGCTGGCGATCCTACTAGATGTCATGCTGGCACCAGGGCTCTTTTTGTAGAAAAAGCCCAGCAGGAACTCATTAGCATAATAGGCCACACCCAACAGCAGAAACTCATTAGCATATTAGGCCACACCCCTGACAACACAGCTCATTAGCACATTAGGCCACACCCCATGTTACCAGAAGTGTGGTCATCCAGCCACACCCACCTTTTGCTTCTTATTCTGTTTACCTTGTTTGTTGTGGAACTCCTTTGCATGTTAGGCCACACACCCCTAATGTAGCCAATCCTAATGTGTTTCTGCTGTTGGGTGTGGCCTATTATGCTAATGAGCTCCTGCCGGGCGTGGCCAACTTGGGAGCCAGCCGGAACTCCATTCCTTTGCGTTCCTGCCCAAAAATAGCCCTGCGCACGATTGCGTTTCTGGGTGAACACACCCGGTGCCAACCAAGCATTTGTGACACCACAGAGAATTCAGTCTGTTTAAAGCGGGCTAGGAGGATCACGTTCCACTGCAGCTTCCTTGATCAGACCTGGTTTTATATTTCCCCCACACTGCCCAGCTAGTTACAGGTAGAAGGGATCCTTACCTGCTCGGTAGGAACGGAATAATCTCAGATCGGTTATTATCTCTGGACGCCTCTCTCTCCAGAACAACTCCCATCTTTCTGTTGCAGCACGTGACTAAGTATCAATATGTCTCCCTCTCAGCATATGTCATCTGAAATGTGGAGTTGGAGGAGAGTTTCACAGATACTGTGGACTGCCAAAAAGACACATTAGTGGGTTCTAGATGGAGCTGCGGTGGCTCAAGTGGTTAAGACGCTGAACTGCAGGCTGTGGAAGGTTGGTAGTTCAGCAGTTCGAGACCCGAGTGTGCCGCATGATGGGGTGAGCTCCTGTCTCTAGTTCCAGCTCCTGCCAACCTAGCAGTTCGAAAGCAAGAAATTGCAAGTACATAAATAGGTACCACTTCGGTGGGAAGGTAACAGCGTTCCGTGCGCCTTGGTGTTTAGTCATGCCGGCCACATGACCACGGAAAACGTCTTCAGACAGCTCTGGCTCTTCGGCTTTGAAACAGAGATGAGCACCGCAACCCTAGAGTCGGACTCGACTGGCTTTCAAGCAAGGGAACCTTTACCTTTACCTTTAGACTAAACCAAGCCTGAACTCACCCTAGAAGCTAAAATGACTAAACTGAGTCATTTGGACACATTATGCAAAGACAAGAGTCACTGGGAAAGATGATCATGCTAGAAAAAGTGGAAGGCCGCAGGAAAAGATGTGGGTCCACAATGAGATGGAAGAAGAAGAAGAGGAGGAGGAGGAGGAGGAGACTGGATTTATACCCCTCCCTTCACTTGGGAGTCTCAGAGCGGCTTACAAACTCCTTTCCCTTCCCCTCCGCACAACAGACACCCTATGAGGTAGGTGGGGCTGAGAGAGCTCTTTCCAGAATTGCCCTTTCAAGGACAGCTCTGACTGAACTATGGCTTGCCCAAGGTCATCCAGCAGGAGTGGGGAATCAAACCCGTTTCTCCCAGATTAGAGTCCATGCACTCAACCACGACACCAAACTCAGTCAAGGATGGACTCAGTCAAGGAAGCCATGACCCTCAGTGTGCATGACCTGAGCAAAGCTGTTAACGAGAGGATGTTTTGGAGGTCATGAAGTCACAGGGTCACTGTAAGTCAGAAGTGACGTGACGGGACTTGACACAATACTAATAATTATCATATGGCCTTGTGTGTCGAATAGCTGGGAGATCCTAAGATTGTCTGGTGCCCAGAAGTCCTAGCTCTTTTAGCATTATGCGCCACTAGGTGGCGAGCTAGACTTGTTTTTGAGGCAAGAGAAATTTCAAAGCTGGTTTGCCATTGCCCGCCTCTGCGTCACGACCCTGGTATTCCTTGGAGGTCACCCAGCCAAATACTAGCCAAGGCCAACCCTGCTTAGCTTCCAAGATCTGACAAGATCAGACCAGCCTGGGCAGACCTGCCGTGCCTCTGACAAACCGAGCGCTGACTGACTGTTGGGACTACATTTTGCTTGTCTTTCCACTGTTGCTGGGCTCCTGTTTGATTTTGCTGCTGTTGACTAACACGGCTGCCCATCTGGCATTATTCCAGTGCTGTTCCTATGCTTTTGGAAGTTCAATCTCTTTTTGCCATTCCTTTTTTTTCCTTTCTGCTGAGGGGGATGTAAGAAACCAGCTTGCAATTTCCTAGTCACCTAAGGCCAGCAGAAGCAGGCCAGACCAGACAGCCTTAGGGTTGCTGCTAGGGATGCTAGAGATGCCACCCTCCAGGGGTGACCTGGGGATCTCCCAGATTTATAGCTCATCTCCCGACTACGGAGATCAGTTCCCCTGGAGAAAATGGATTATCTGGAGGTTGGACTCTATGCCAGTCTATCCTGCTGAGGTCCCCTGTCTTCCCTGGACTCCACCCCCAAATCTCTAGGAGTTTCCCAACCTGGATCTGGCAACCGTACCCCCCCATCCCTTGCTAGCAGCCAGGGGGAACCTAGTAACCCTAGTTTCTGCTGCCGCCCATGTCTTAGTCTTTAAATTACTAGAAGGTTTGCTGATTTTGCTTCAACAAAATACTACTCCCCCCAACAAGGAATGTTTTTGGGGAGTGCAGAAACCGAAATTCAATTTTTGTTGTCGAATGAGCGGTCAACAGATGACTAGTAGATCAGTGACTGAATGGCAGCCTTCCACAGAGATTGTGCAATGACTGGAATTCCCCCTTGCCTGCTCTCTTCACAGAAATCACCTGACTTCCTTGAAAGAAGGGGGGGAAAGCCCAGTTTGAAAGGATCCAGCAGCCTTCCTCATCTCGCAGGCCCGGGCTTGGCCCCAAATGGGTATTGTGCAACTAGGGTCTGATGACAATGAACCTTGTGGAAGATTCCCTTTTCCAGCGGCAGAGGGCGCCAGAGGCCTGCAGCCCCCTAATATTTTAAACAACACAGATGTGTGGATGTGGGTTCGGAAGAGATATGAAGACAAACACCGGACAGAAGGAGAAGGAGAGGGACGGGAGCACCACCAAAAGACCGGGAGCACAAGGTAAAGCATTTTATACATCCTTTCCCAGAAATGCATTTTTTCTGAATATCAGGATTTGGGTTAAATGTGTCATGGTGGAGGCCGAGTCCTTTTTGGAAATAGGGGGAAAAGGCATTTGTGTTTCCAGACTACCTTTTTGGAAGGAGCTGGTTGGCTTGTGGGAAGGGGCTGGTAATTCTGTGGCGAGCCCTTCTCCACAGCTCTGTGCCTGCCCCAGTGCTGTGTGCATACATTTGGGCATAGATATTGTTTGGTGCAGCATCCTCGTGTTCTAAAGGATTCTCTGCCACAGGAACCAGTTTTACTTACTAAAGGTGAATAATGATATCTATGCGTCTACGGGTTCCGCTCTCTGCCAGAGGAGTATCAGCTCTGCTGTACCAAACAGGGGTAATTCTAGGGTTCCGGTGCCACTGGTGAGAGATCATGGGGGGACAGGGCAGGGTTGCTGGATCCGGGTTGGGAAACTCCGGGAGATCTGGGGGTGGAGCCTGGGGAGGGCAGGGAGCTGCTCAGATGGGGTCCAATGCCATAGAGTCCAGCCTCCAAAGCATCCGTTTTCTCCAGGGGAACCGATCTCTGTCGTCCTCCACACATGAGTTGTAGTAAGATTCAACCATGCAGCTGTGTAGTTGTGAGAAGGAGGGAATATGTTTCTGATCCCACCCCACCCCCCCTAATAAAGGCAGGGCTGCCCCCAGCTTATTTTACACCCTAGGCGAGGATCCCTTCTGGCGCCCCCCCTGTGCCACGGTGCCCCCCCATGCACCCACCTGGTCAGAGCCAGCAGGGGGGCTTTTGGCGGGGTGGGCGGGTGCAGTTTGGCGCCCTTCATCAGGGCGCCTGGAGAAGAGGCTGTCTGGTGGGGTGCTCACAAGCCGTCGCTCCCCTGGCCCTGCTGCTGCTCCTGCTGCAGCTGCCAGTCCCCAGCCGTGAGGAAGAGGAGGAGGAGAAGGGCTCCGCTGGGAAGCCAAGGGGGCAGGCAGGGAGAAGTTAGCTGGCCAAAGAGGTGGCAGCGGTGGGGGTCACAAGGCCGCAGAAATGCAGGGCTTTTGGCGGGGGGCGGGTGCAGTTTGGCGCCCCTAAGGGCCGACATGCTCTAGGCAAATGCCTAGTTCGCCTAGTGAGCGAGCCGGCCCTGGGTCCAGGGTCTCCTATAGGAGTGGAGAGCCAGTTTGTTGCCCCTAAGGGCCGGCGCGCTCTAGGCGAGCGCCTAGTTCACCTAGTGAATGAGCCGGCCCTGAATAAAGGCAGAAAGAAGAACACACTTCTCAGCTGGGAAGAAAAGAAGCATTCATCTTCTTGAGATCTGGAGGCTGCGATTAATTTGGGGGTCCAGCCTTGGTTTTGTGTAACCTTCCGGTGGGGGGGGGGACAGTTGGCTTTCTATTTCTTTCGAGCGCCAGTTTGGTGTCGTGGTTAAGTGCGGGGCCTCTAATCTGGGAGAACCGGGTTTGATTCCCCACTTCTCCACTCGCACCTACTGGATGACCTTGGCCGAGCCATCGTTCTGATAAGAGCTGTCCTTGAAAAAGAGCAGTTTCTGTCAGAGCTCTCTCAGCCCCACCTACCTCACAGGGTGTCTGTTGTGGGGAGGGGAAGGGAAAGGAGTTTGTAAGCCGTTCTGAGACACCTTCGGGGAGTGAAGGGCGGGGTATAAATCCAATCTCTTCTTCTTCTATCCAGTTCTCCCTAATCTCCTTTGAAGTTGGTGGTCCTTTTACTGGTTTTAAATAAGAAGTAAAATTTGCTAGCTACATTCTCTAATGTCTTTGGAATAACCTATTTGTTTTGTAAGGTTTTTGTGTGGTTTTTTTTTTTTGTGCTTCCAATACATTCTGTAGCTAAAGTTTATATGAACTGTTTCATAACTAGGAGTGTGTGCAAAAAAACCCCAACCTGGTATTTTTTGGACTTAGGTATATTTGACCTGAAAAATACTGGTATTCCCGAATACCAAATACTGGTATAATATTCAGATTTGAGTTTTTTTCAGGTTTCCTAATTTTTCAGGTCCATTATTCCCTATGGGGAAACTTTCTGGGTGGCTTGGGGCTGTGTGATTTTTAAATTGGTATCCAATGCCATCTGAACTGTTTAACTGTCTTACACCGAATTTAACCACTATTGATTGATTAATATGTGTATTTGTCGTATACCACCCTGAGTCCTTTGGGGGAGGGCGGTTTATAAGTCAGATAAATAAAGTCCCACCTGGAAGCTGGCATCCCTAGATACTTCCCTGGTAGAAAGAAAAATCAAACCAAGCGCTAATAAATGTGATGTCTTTGCCCACATATGAAGTCCAGCCACCGTGCCTTTTGAAGAAGCAAGATGGAGCTTTTCCATATGGGGTAAGTCGGTTATGGAAGGCGGGGAGGATAGACACAGGAGTCCTGTCAGTTTCTCTAGAGGGCTTTTTCAAGAAGGACATGGGTTGGCTGACAGAGTCCCCCCTGGGTTAATGAGCTTTCTGTCAAACTACAGTTGCCAACTCTGAGTTGGGAAATTCCTGGAGGTTTGGGGTTGGAGCTTGGGGAGGGCAGGGTTTGGGGAAGGAAGGTCCTCAACAGGATATAATGCATAGGGCTGCACTGTGACATGGTTGGCTCCTTGTTCTGATTATTATTATTATTAGCTGCTGGCTCTGAGCGATTTACAGTTACTCAAGTTTTCACACGGGACTAACAATGATTCATAGGGTAAGGGAGGACAACATATAATTCTTTAAATCGCACACTTGTGCAGCCGATGGGGACTTTGTTCAGCTGTAAGCTTCAGGCGTGTTCCGGACGGCATTCACTTTCGGCTTGGCTGGATGACGTCAGTTCTTCCAGGACTGCTTTGAGTCGTGGTGCCGCACTGCCACCGCCTGGCCGGATTGGCCCGTCACAGGCTTAATGCCGAAGAGGTCTTTTTTTCCAGGCTTCCGAGCTTCCGAGCTGGACCTTCCGTTCGCCGGCTAACACCTCCCCCACCGGGGGGTTTAGTGTGCCCACCCTCTCTAAGGAGTGGTACCCATTTGATCTACTCGCCAAAGCTTTCGAACCACTGGGTGGACGGCGAGCTGGGGATAAGGCTGGTAGCTCACACCAGCGTGGGCTAGAACTGACAGCAGCTTTGTTCAGTTCAGATGTTAACCAGAGGATAAATCCTCTGTGCCACCGCTCCCCTTAAGGTATCCAAAGTTCTTGTAGTAACCCCAGGGTCCCCCAGTGTGGCACCCATGGGCGCCTCGGCACCCGCTAGCACCTTTCCTGGTTTCTACCAAGTGCTTTTGTCCAGCAAGTCTTCTGATTGACCGTCGGGGATCTGATTGGCTATGCAGATTTTTTAAAACGTTGCTTCGGCAGCAGCTGCTCTCACAGCACAAGGATCTTCACGTTGTGACTGAAGGTAAGCCGCCGGCAGCCATTTTGTAGCTGCCTGAACCTCTCACGACATTTTGTGGCTGCGCCCATCACACGGTGTTAGGATTCCAAAGGTGCCTGCAGGCTCAAAAAGTTTGGGGACCCCTGTAGTAGCCCCTCGCACTCTTGAGGGCTATGGGTCCAAGCTGATGCAGCCCCTCTATCTTGTAGGGTATAGACTAATGGGGGGCAGACAACAGCCCACTCCCCATTCCTTCTCCTTCCTCTCTCAGGAGCTTCATCACCTGCTTCCTCTTCGCATGCTCAGATGCAGCCTCCATGTTTGGAAAAATCCTCTCCCCAAATTATCCTCAGGCCTATCCCAACGATGTTCTGGAATCCTGGGAAATCAACGTCCCCCCTGGCTACGGCATCCGCCTCTACTTCACCCACCTGGACATAGAGCCTTCTCAAAACTGCGAGTATGACTCCGTGAAGGTACAGGCCTCGTCCCTCTGCCGGGGGTTGGAGAAAGGGAAGGCGTCACAGAGGAGACCTGTGCCGGTTTGACGTTCAATAGCAACTCTGCACTGTAGTGTGTGAGGCTCAATGGGAAAGTTGTCTGTTGAGGAACATTGTAAGGTCCAATGAGAAAGTTGTATGCTTTGATAATCTCCAAAGGGGACAGAGGAAGGTGATAATTGTTGAGAAAGTTGAGAGTGGTACAACATAACATGGCCCATACCTGGGGGATGGGGCATGGCTCAGTGGCAGAGCCTCTGCTTGGCATGCGGAAGGTCCCAGAGTCAATCCCTGGCGTCTCCAGTTAAAAGGATCAGGAAACAGGTGATGTGGAAGACCTGTACCTGAGCCCCTGGAGACTCAGTATCAGTCACAGTAGACAATACTCAGAATGATGGTCTGATTCAGGATACAGCGGCTTCATGAGTTTCGTGTGCATTCATTTGTTGCTTTCATCCCACTGTCATCTAAGTTCAAACAGGTTTCGCAGAGCAAGCAGAGAAAGGCGCAGGGGGGCCTCTGGAGGAAGCCAGGGATGGGGCAGGAGGTCTTCTCGGGGCCACGGAACTGGGGATGGGATGGGAGGCAGGCAACTTAATCTTCCTTCTTCTTCCTCCCCGTGGCCTGACTGAGGGCTGCAGGGGGCGGGGCTTAGTCATGTGCCCGCCCCCGGGCTCCTGACTCCCGGAGCGCCGCTCCTGAGCGCTCCGGCTCCAACTGAGGCCTGTATGTATAGATCCAGGGCACAGACTACACTGCCTTCTGGTTTTCTCTCTCCATGGCATCCTGTTTTTCCATCTATGTAAGCTACGGTCCTTTATTTGTATCTTCCTCTTAGCCAGCCGTACCCCACTTACTTCATTTCTGGGCCAGGCCCAAAGCCACAGTGGGGCCTGTGGGGGCCTTGCCCCCTTGAGGATATTTGAACCGCCGTTTCTTAATTTTCGCCTTTAAAAAAATAAATCAGATTTCCCCTTCTCTTTTATTTATATTTTTTAACTTGTGGAACAAGTGTGCAGGCATTTGCGATCCAGAAGTCAAGCTGCACTGCTACTTCCCAAAATTCTGGCTAGTGAGCACACTGGGATAACTGAAAAACATCACATGCTTAATTTTAAATTTTATAAAATTAATTTATGTTTTATGAATGTGTAATGCCCTGACCTGGATGGCCCAGGCTAGCCCAGAATGGGAAAGAAAGAAAGAGAAAGAGAGAGAGAGAGAGAGAGAGAGAGAAAGAAAGAAAGAAAGAAAGAAAGACCAGGGACACTATGTAGAGGCAGGCAAGGGCAGAACCGCCTCCGTCAGTCTCCTGCCCTACAGCATTGTCATAAGTCAGCTGCAATTTGACGGCACTTTAATTTTTAGTTTAATATAATAAAATAACCCCCAACTTTGTTCCCTCTAAGCTGAGTTCGTGTGAGCTAGCTCACAGTTTTTTAGCCTCCGACTCACACATTATTGTCCAAGCTCAGGAGGAAGGAGGGCTCCAGAGCAAACTAACTTATGCAGCAGTCAATTCACCTGCTCACAACTTTAATGCCAGTAGCTCACAAAGTAGAATTTTTGCTCACAGGGCTCTGTAGCTTAGAGGGAACATTGCGTCCCAAGTGTATGGAATGTCTCTCTTCCTGGTGCAACCACAGTCCCCCTTCCCACAAAGTTTCTTTCTCAATGCTGCTGTTTTAAAGGTACCTGATAGGGAAAATCTGAAAGGCATTATCCCTCCTCCCCCTCCCCCTTGACCAAAGCTATGAGGACCTTCTCTTGTGCAACCTAATAGGCTGTGAGCTCCCTTTCATTTAAAGTATGCTTGATTCTTGTGGGTCGTGCCCACGGTTCAGACCTGTGCCCCGTTGTTTATTCTAGCCAGTCCACGCTGCCTGCTTGATTATCTTGGTTGGTGGCAGGAGCCCCTCAGCCTGTTCCTATCTCGGAACATCCCCTCCTGCCCTCAACCTGCAAAAAAATGGCTCTGAGGGACTCTATATATTTATTTATTTTTATTTATTTATCATTTCAATTTATAGCCCTCCCTCCCCGTAACGCGGGCTCAGGGCGGCTCACAGATAGGCATAACTAAGCCAACACATAAAACACAAGTTAAAACCATGTGAAACCGTTACTACAATGTTACAACGTATTAGGTGCTCTAGATGTTCCAGAATAATCTTCCATCAAGATGGCGTCCTCTCGCAGAGATGAGGCCTGCGTGTCTGTCCCTTTCAGGTCCTGACTGGGGATCACCTTGAAGAACAGCTGTGTGGGCGGAGGAAGGATGACATTCCCACCTCACGAATCCTGAAGGAATTCTATGTGCCCCACAATACCTTGACAGTGACTTTTCAGTCGGACTTCTCCAATGAAGAGCGATTCACTGGCTTTGCGGCTTATTACGTCGCCGTGGGTAAGTTATCGGCTGCCTCCAGTTGGCACTCGGAGTTCTCCTAGATGTGCGATTCCTTCCAGCATTGCCTTGGTTACAGAAGGCACCGTTTCAAATGTTGTCTTTGTGTGTCTGTGCGGGGGGGAGGGGGGGGTTGAGATATTTGCTATTTTTCTCCATCTTTAGCTTAAATGCTTTTTTTTTTCCTTTTGTAGATTTAGCTGCCAGGGTTACTTTGTCAAGGACAAAAGAGGTGTGGGGAGAGGGGGGAAACTTTAACCCTTTCCTCCTCCTGCTATTTTCTCTTTGGAAAGAAAAGGCTGATTTCGCAGTAGAGCTGCCTCGATGTTGCGCCGCCGTTTGCCCCGATACTATTGGTCAATTTCACACCCGAAGCCGCGGGGCTGCATTTGACCCTCAGCTTCGCCCGATTTCCCCTGCAGTTTCGTGATCCTCAAAAAACAGGATCACGAAACTGTGGGGGAAATCGGGCGAAGCCGCGAGTCAAAATGCAACCCCGCAGCTTCAGGTGTAAAATTGACCAATAGTATCGGGGCAGCTCTAGTGCGAAATCAGCCTATGCCTCAGCTGCTGTTAACTACTACTGGGGAAAATGTTTCTCCATCTGGAGTAAAAATGTCTCAAGGGCAACTTTTCCAGCAAGAAAATGGCAAGAAAAGTCCCACACAATTCTCCTCCTTGATAAAGCAATCCTAGCAGCCGTATATGCATATGGGGGGGGAAAATCCAATTTAAAATAAATTGAACCTAGAGTAGGGTTGCCAGCCTCCAGGTGGGACCTGGAGATCTCCCAGAATTCCAGCTGATCTCCAGACTGCAGAGATCAGTTTCTCCCACAGATCATGGCTGCATTGGAAACTGGACTCTGTGGCCTGATGCCCACCTGAGTTGAGTTGAGTTGAGCTGCGGTGGCTCAAGTGGTTAAGACGCTGAACTGCAGGCTGTGGAAGGTTGGTAGTTCAGGAGTTCGAGACCCGGGTGCCGCATGATGGAGTGAGCTCCCATCTCCAGTTGCAGCTCCTGCCAACCTAGCAATTCGAAAGCAAGAAATTGCAAGTAGATAAATAGGTACCACTTTGGTGGGAAGGGAACAGCGTTCCGTGCGCCTTGGTGTTTAGTCATGCCGGCCACATGACCACGGAAACGTCTTCGGGCAGCGCTGGCTCTTCGGCTTTGAAACGGAGATGAACACCGCAACCCTAGAGTCGGATTCGACTGGCTTTCGAGCAAGGGAACCTTTACCTTTACCTTTTACCCACCTGAGGCCCCTCCCCAAACCCCTCCCTCCTCAGGTTCCACCCCCAAGTCTCCAACAATTTCCCAACTCCAAGTTGAGAACCCAAACCTAGAGGCAAATAGGTGGACCCACAGACAAGGAGAGTATGTGTGCAGGATTCTCGCCAAGGGTCCAAGGCTCATGGATGTATTCGAGATTCTCAAGGTGCAAAGTGAGGAATCGATAAGAAGTGATGCTCGCTGAGAGAGCAGGGATGCTCACACAGTTGTCCCCAGTTTCAGGTGGGAGGCAGGAGGGTGACAAGGATTGCTGGAACTCTCCTGTTAACACAGGGCCTCCCTCTCCCGTCACCTTCCATTCATGGACGCTTTCACGCATGCTAAATAATGCCGTTTCGATCCACTTCGTTTTGCAAGTGGATCAGGCCATTTCACACTGTAAAATCCAGTTGCGAAGTGCATGGGAAGTGGATTGGAAGTGCCTTATTTTGTGTGTGTGAAAGCACCTGATGTTTCCATCCCGTCGTCTTTGCCATTTCCTCTTTCCCCTGATTCCGCACGGATCTCTCTTGACGTCTCTCTTCACTCCTTGCAGATGTGAACGAGTGCACGGAGTTTGTGGAGAAGGTCTGCAGCCATTACTGCAATAACTACATTGGGGGATACTTTTGTTCTTGCCCCCCAGCGTATATGTTACATGAAGACCGGAAGACATGTGGAGGTAGGAGCCTGCCCCCCTCAACCCCCGAAATAATAGTCCTGACCTGTGGAACCAATACCTGAGCCGAGAAGACCAGCGCCATTCAACAGCCTGCTCTGGACAAGCAGTAAATCCAGAGTAGTTGATAAATTGGAAGGATTTATAGTTGCTATTGGGCAAGAATATGAATGAGTACTGCTTATATAAAGAACAGAATTCAATCACAGAGAGTCTAAGGTTGCCAGCTGGCCAGGAAAACAACCTCTTGTGCCTTTAACAGAAGCTTGCTGAGTGGAAACGGGCCCTTGAAGATTTTCATGGCATGGAGTAAAATAACATTTATTTAGACGGAGAAGAGTAGGTTTTAATACCTCACTTTTCTCTACCCTAAGAAGTCTCAAAGCAGCTTACAATCTTCTTCCCTTCCTCTCCCCACAACAGGCACCTTGTGAGCAGTGTTCCCTCTAAGCTGAGTTAGTGTGAGCTAGCTCACAATTTTTTAGCCTCCGGCTCACAATTTTTTGTCTCAGCTCAGGAAGGACAGCTCCAAACAAACTGATTAATGCAGTAGCCAGATTGCTCGCTCATAACTTTAATGTCAGTAGCTCGCAAGGTTGAATTTTTGCTCACAAGACTCCACAGCTTAGAGGGAACACTGCTTGTGAGGTAGGTGGGGCTGAGAGAATTTGGAGAGAGCTGTGACTAGCCCAAGGTCACCTATCAGGCTTCACATGGAGACCAAGTGGGGAATCAAACCCGCCTCTCCAGATTAGAGTCCACTGCTGTTATCCATTACTTCACTTATACTTCACCTTTCTTTCTCAAGGGGGAACCAAAGTGGCTTACATCATTCTCTTTTCCTCCATTTTATCATCACAACAACCCTGCGAAGTAGGTTAGATTGCAGGTGTGTGACTGGCCCAAGGTCACCCAGACAGCTTCTATAGCAGAGTGAGGATTCAAACCTGCCCCCCCGATCCTGTCTATGACTCTAACCACTGTACCACACTGGCTCTCCTCGTATGATAAGTGCCTGCAGATCCAAGTGGTATTAAAGGGACTGCTAGAAGGACCCGTTCAAAAACTGGCCACCCTGTTGGAGACAGTCCCAAGCTTGGAGAGCCAAGACTCTCCTAAGCAATGCCGGGGCTCTGGATGGGGGACATTAATTGGGAATCAGCAAATGTGTTTGACTTTTAACCAAAATCAGTGTGTGTGTTGTAAGGTAGAGTTAAGAGACAGTAATATGCAACACTTGGAGAGATATGATTTAAGGCAGCAGATCTTAAACCCTCATCAGGTTTCTAATTTGCAAGTGTTTAGGCAGTGCCTGCTACAGTCTCAGAAGTCAGAAGAAGTAGCAGAATAGAGTTTCAGTTAGAGTTGCCAGCCTCCAGGTGGGGCCTGGAGACCTCCCGCTTTTACAAGCTGACCGAGATCAGTTCCCCCGGAGAAAATGGCTACTTTGAAGGGTGGACTCTATGGCATTGTGCCATGCCGAGGTCCCGCCCCTCCCCAAACCCTGCCCTCTCCCAGATCCACCCCCAAAGTCTCCAGGTATTTTCAAACTCAGACCTGGCAGCCGTAGTTTCAGTGGTTGGAGGCAAGGTTGCTGGCTTTTAAACTGATCCGTCTTGATATTATTCATTTTGATCTGCAAGCAGTTATCAAGTGTTGGTATTGGGCTCCATGCCCTGACAAACTTTGTTTGAAGGTATTCTCTACCCTCCAGCCTTCTTCTGGGGAAAGAACCACTGAAGTCAGAGGAAAGCTCCTTAAACAGGAGGAAGGCTTCCAACTTTTCTGAGTGGAATGGTAGGGATACAGGCCAGAAGATCTAAAGTGAGGAATCTCCCGTGATCATAAAAATATAATAAACTTAATAATCATTGCCCTTTCATTGTTCTCCAAAATATTCCACCTCAGCTGAGTTGTTATTTTGACAGAAGAGGCAGGAGATGTTGAGGGTGGGTTTAACAACGGTATAGAGAGGATCAGGTCCAACAGAAGATCACTTGCCCGGTTACTTACCTTAAGAAGGGCGTAGAAGATCAAGTCCAACAGAAGATCACTCGTTGACTTTGTTATTGATCTTAGGAAGACTATAAAGGATCATGTCCAACAGAAGATCCCTTGTTAACTTTCTAACTAACATTAAGAAGGGTGTAGAGCAGGGGTCCTCAAACTACGGCCCGGGGGCCACATGCGGCCCGCCGAAAACATTTATCCGGCCCGCCGGCAGGTCTGGCTCGCCTAGGGCGCGCTGGTCCTCAGGGGCGCCAAATTGCGCTCCCTCGCCACCCTAACCGGGTGGGCGACCCGCTTGCAACACTGGCCTCTGCTCTGGAGGCGCCACCACAGCTAGGCCGCCAAGCGGGACTCGCCCCCGAAGTTCCCAGGCTGCGGCGGGGGGAGCAGGCCCAGGCGGCGGCGCGGCACATGGATCAGGTCTGACAGGAGATCACTTGTAAACTTTTGTTAGTGATCTAAAAAGGGTGTGGAAGATCAGGTCCAACAGGAGATCATTTGTTCACTTGGTTAGTGACCTTCAGAAGGGAGCAGAGGACCAGGTCCAACAAAAGATCATTTGCTAACTTTGTTACTGACCTTTTGGCATCCTCCCCAATTCTAGTGAACTGCAGTGGGAATGTGTTCACTGAGCCAACCGGAGAAATCACCAGCCCCAACTACCCCAGCCCGTATCCCGAGAATTCACACTGTGATTACCGTGTGGTGTTGGAACCTGGATACCGTGTGGTCCTGACCATCAAGAACAAGGATTTTGACATAGAGCCTGCCGACTCGGAAGGAAACTGCCCCGATGCCTTAACAGTAAGCGATGGGCTTGAGAGAGAGGAGGAGAGCTCCATGAGTGTTTTGGTCTCCCTGCTGCAGTTCTGAGTGAATCTCTTATGCCAGCCAGCCCCCTTTACATGGCGTAGCCTTGTGGGCCTAGCTCCTGTGTGAGTCTTCCAGCCTACTTCTAGCAATGTTAAGCTTTCACTTTATTCAATGCAGTCTCTAGGCTTTTGAGGGGTAATGATGAAAAACAAAACACGGAAGCAATTCTCTATCCAGTTGTTAAGCAAGAAGCATACCCGCTCTTGGCTTCGGTGTTTTGTCCAAGAACTGAAGGGGGGGGGTAGGTCAGGAAAAGCCAGAGAAAGTGGAGGTCTAGGGTTGCCAGCGCCTGGTAGGGAAATACTTGGAGATTTGAAGGGCGGAGCCTGAGGAGGGTGGGGTTTGGGGGAGGGGAGGGACGTCAATGGGGTGAAATGCCATAGAGTCCACCTTCCAAAACAGCCATTTCCTCCAGGATGGTGAAGTGATCTCTGTCCCCTGGAGATCAGTTGTAATCCCAGGAGATCTCCAGCTACCACCTAGAGGTAGGCAGGGGTCGTTTCGTAGAAAAAGAGCTAGTGGAACTCATTAGCATAACTCATTAGCATATGTCACACCCCCTGACAACACCAGAAGTGTGTCATAAGGCCACACCCACCACTCAGTTAGTCTTAGTCTTAAAGGTGCTATTTGAACTCTTGGACTATTTTGCAGCAACAGACTAACACAGCTACCTCGGGGAAGTTCCTGGATGGGGCTGGGAGTCCTTGCGGAGGCCACGTGGAATGTCCTCGGCCAGGCAGAGGGGGAAGACGCCAATTTACCCTCCTGCTTCTTCCTCCTTCTGCAACAGAATGAGGCTGGAAGCAGGGGGCGGCCGGAAGAAGGGGGCGGGGCTTCATCGTGTGCCACGCCCCCTGCACCTCACCCGGGGGAACTGCGATCCCCCGCGATCCCCCCCAAATCGAACTCTCGAGGTAGGGTTGCCAAACCCTCTGGTTTGCCAGGGATCCCCCGTTTTGGGGGAAGCCCCACCCCCAACACCCACAGCCACCCATCTCTCTCCGTTTAAGTGTGTGGAACCCGTGTTTCCTCCCAAGCCTCATCTCCGCAAGCTTGCAGGGAAATGCCAACTTTGTGCTCTTAAAAGGGAAATGCGGCTGCTCTTAAAGGGGAAACGCCGGCTCCCGCATTTAAAAGGGAAACGCCGGCTCTTTTAAGTGCAGGGAACGGCCGTTTCTGGAGATCCGGCGCACGGGCGGGGTGTGTGTGTATGGACGTCCCCAACGTGACGTCATCACGTCGGGGATGCCCCGCCCCCTCCAGGAACGCCCCCAAAGTCCCCCGCTGGGGGTGGAAGATGGACTTGGCAACCCTACCTAGAGGTCAGCAACTCTATGGAAGGGGGATGAGAAAATGAGAGGAAGGGACAGCAGACCAGCAGGGAAAGCAGTGGGGGAGGATGGAAAAGACAGGGAAAGTGCTGTTGGGGGGCAGGAAAAGTGAGATAAAAGAATGGGGAAAGCGTCCATGAGTCTCTGCTTGTGTGTAGGCGTACAAAACATATGCAGTTTCAACTATTTAACTGCTCTTGCATTGTATTTAAACTGTTCAATAAATCCAGTAGCTTATTGGCATTCTTTAAACGTTTGTTGCATTGCACCGACATATAGTACTCTCAAGTGTATCCTTAGACTCCCCAAGTATAATTTTCTGGCTTCATTCTGCTCAAATCCCCCTTCCCTGCCTCTTCATTTCTGCCTGCATGGATCCAATCCTCTTGTCGGCCGTTCTTTCAGGTCTTGGCAGGAGATCAACGTTTCGGTCCCTTCTGCGGCAATAAATTCACGGGCCCTTCGGAAATCAAGTCACCAAACCATATCCTCGACGTCGATTTCCGTACTGACGAATCCACACAAGGCAAAGGCTGGAAAGTCCGCTACTTTGGAGACCGTGAGTATCGATCCCTCCGAGGAAAACGTGTGGAATATACTCAGGTTTCTCAGAGACAAGAGAAACAGGCAGTTTGTGGTGGAATGGTACAAACAAAACAAATGTTTTCAAGGAATGAAGGTGGAACTTCTAGACGAGGACAGGTAAAGTTGCCCCTCTTCGGGTGGGACCTGGAGATCTCCTGGAATCACAACTGATCTTCAGATTCCAGAGATCAGCTCCCCTGGAGAAAATGGCTACTTGAGGGTGGACTCTATGGCATACTCTGTCCTCCCCAGGCTCCACTCATATATCTCCAGGGATTTCCCTCCTTGGAGTTTGCAACCCGAGGGGTAGGTGAAGAACTTCTGCCAGTGGAATGACTTCTGTCTGGAAACAGTTGCTGGGGTGGATCCTCTCCTGAGAACACTGTATAGATTATTTGTTGCTGTTCAGTCGCACAGTCGAGTCCGACTCTTCACGACCCCCATGGACCACATCACGCCAGGCCCTCCTATCCTTCGCCATCCTCCGGAGTCTGCTCAATTGTGCTCACTGACAGATTTGGGATGGGTGCAGGGCTGGCTCACCCACTAGGCGAACTAGGCATTCGCCTAGAGTGCCAGACCCTGGATGGGGCTCCAAGCTGTGCCTCCCCCCCTCCTCCCCCCCTTTGGTGGCGGGAGGGCGGGAGGGAAGAGGCGGTGGTGGCGGCAGCAAAAGGGTGGCTCCAGAGGTCTCCAGGTTTTCAGGCCCCACCGGGAGGTTGGCATCTGCGCCACAAGGCAGCCTTGCCTAGGGCACAGAAACACCTCGAGCCGGCCCTGGATGGGTGTTGGGTGAGGGAGGGCTGAGGAAATCTGGCGGGCTGCTGGAAGAAGACGTTTTGAGAGCCAGGCCGATGTAGGGTAACCAGCACAATGGGCTACCAAGCTGAGGTCCAGATTCAACGTCCATGGATTGGGGGGCTGTAGCAGAGGAAGGATCCACGGGGGAGTCTCAGAGCCATCTCCAGATTTCTGGGCTGGGCAGAAGAAGGTGGCGTTCTGTAGGGAGGTTGTCTTCAGAGCTGGCCAGAAAAGAGTGAGGGATCTAGATGAAGGGTTCTGCACAGTGAAGGACCCTCATTGAGGCTAGACCTCTTTGACTTTCTGGGGTAGATGAAGATGAAGGTCCCTGTGGGGGGAGAGTGTCAAGAGTTTTTGGCTAGGGCCTTTTCTGCATTCTCATTTTCCCTGTTTGTAAGTTCCTGTCGCTTGGGTCCCCCCCCCCCCCATTCCACACATGTTTTGCCCCCTCTCTTGGTCAATTCGATATTACCTCACTGCATGTCTGACATCTCTCCCTGCAGATTTAGACTGCAGGTTTTTAATGCCAGGCATAAAGCAATGTAATATTGAATCGACCACTAGATGAATCAAAACACCTATGGAACAGAAAACCCTGCCCTCTCAAAGCAACAGGAACTTAGAAGCGAGGAAAATGAGAATATGGAAAAGTCCTAGGACTGAGGAGACCTGGTTTGAGATCCCCAGTGGCAGTGGAGCTGGCTGGGTGAGCTTGGGCTGGTCATTCCTTCTCAGCCTAGTCTAGCTCACACTGTTGTTACGAGGATAACACGGAGGAGGGGAGAGCCTCGATCACATGAAGCTACCTGAACCAGACCGTTGGTTCATCAGAGTCAGTATTGTCTACTCGGACTGGCAGAGGCTTTCCAGGATCTCGGCCAGAGGTCTTCACGTCACCTACCGCTTGACCTTTTAACTAGCGATGCCAGGGATTGAACCTGGGACCTTCCGCATGCCAAGCAAATGCTTATACCACTGAGCCACAGCCCTCGTTTGTCGCTCTGAGCTCCTTGGAGGAAAGTCAGGATAAAAATGCACGGCATAAACAAACAATCCTCTCAGCAAGAAGTTATCTGATACGGATTAGCACCTTTGTGAATAGATGTGAGGGTTTTTTAAGAATACAGAAAACCTTTGGGGACCCTATTTGGGTGGGAAGGCAGCCTAGAAAAAAAATAGAAAACAGGAAGGCGGTGGGGGCAGAGGAGACGGCTGGCTCCTGATGTTTTTTTCCATTTTCAAAGCCATACCCTGTCCACAGTATGTTACCGAAAACTCTGTTCTGGACCCCAAAAGAGAGCGCTATGTCTTCAAGGATTCCGTGAAGGTGACCTGCATAGAAGGCTACGAGATTGTGACAGTAAGTTCACACTTAACATGGTTAAAGCTCTTCCCCAACCCTGCTTGGAATCCTATTGCGATGATGGCTTTTCGTGTTGAGTCTTGTGTAATCATGTTGAGTCTTGGCAATAGAGGCAGTTTGGTGTAGTGGTTAAGTGCACGGACTCTAATCTGGGAGAACCGGGTTTGATTCCCCACTCCTCCACTTGCCCCTGGCTGGATGGGAAAGCCATAGTTCTGGCACAGCTGTTCTTGAAAAAGAGCAGTTCCTGTTAAGAGTTCTCTCAGCCCCACCTACCTCACAGCGTGTCTGTTGTGGGGAGGGGAAGGGAAAGGAGTTTGTAAGCCGCTCTGAGACACCTTTGGGTAGTGAAGGGCGGGGTATAAATCCAATCTCTTCTTCTTCTTCTTCTAATCTGATTTCCGTAAGATTAAGATACAGTTATTTCTGCCTTGGTGTCACGTTCTCCAGCCCAAAGATGGACAGGTAACTCACACACAGCTCCCTTATACATTGATATATCTAGTTTTTTCTAGCCGAGGCCAGTCAAGATACAACTTTTCCCCCCCCCCCAGTGAAAAAATGACAGGGGAGGAAAGGCTAAACATTTCACCCACACTGCTCTCGGTAAAGCTATCCTGGCAGCTAGAGTTGCAAAAAGAAAAAAAGAAGTCATTTACAATAAACAGGGAAGAAAACATATAGACAACTTCAAGAGGGGATTGGATTAACATACGGAGCAGGGGGGGTCCATCAGTGGCTATTAGCCACAAGGTACAGATGGAACACTCTGTCTCGGGCAGTGATGCTCTGTATTCTTGGCGCTGGGGGGGGGGTGGAACAGTGGGAGGGCTTCTGGAATTCTGGCTCCACTGGTGGACCTCCTGAT